TTATTATTATTGTCATCATCATCATAGTTATTATTATTAATTGATCCACAAATTTCTGCATAATTAGATAGAAAAGTGGCTTTTTGAAAAGTCTATTTTACTTTTTAAAGAAAATTTAAAGAAAATTAAGCCCAAATTGGTGGAATTGAACATTAATTTGGAGTGAGATGTTATAGGTTGGTCCCATGGCATGGCAATATTGGACGAGCCCACCAGAATGTTATTTCATTGACTAACATAATGAAGATTAATCATAGCTTTTAAGCTGCATGGGGATTATGGGACTGACGCTGCCAATATTTACCAGATATCTTGGATTAGGTATAAATAGTCAAAAGCCACTTTATTTATAAAAGAAAAATTGGTCTATTGTGGGCCGGAGTAATGATTTTAATTATTTTCAGTTTCTGGATTATTCGATAACTACACGAGATTAGTGGTTTCCAATCTGCATTTTTCTTTAAAAAAGAAAAAGAAAAAAAATATTTGTCTAGAATGAGAAAAAAAAGAAGACAAAAACACAATTAAGCAATAAATTTTTATCTCTCTTAATCTCATATTGAGGATGAACTATTTATATAAAGACCTTTTTATGATAGGGCAAATAGATATGGTTATTAGTTAATTACTTAAAGCCACCCTTAATAAGAGTTTAGTAGTTTTTATTTTACTAAATTAGAAGTTTTTTTTTTTCTCTTAACAAATTAAAAGTTTGCATATTAGTTGAATAAGAGTAGAGTTCTGTGGACCAAAACTTATGCAGAGACCGAAAGCAGGCTAAAAATTCTCTGCCATTGATTATGTGGGAAGCCACACCCGCGTCAACGGGAGAGCAAATTTTAGCCTGATTTTGGCCTCAAATTTTCCTTTTGAATTGATTAGCCAATCTTATTTTGTGCGATAAATACCTTTTCCACAAGGAAGTATTCTCCACGGTTTACATCGAAGTCAATTGTTGTTCGTCCACCGACAATTTCTAGGAGAAGCACTCCGAAGCTATATACATCAGATTTTCTTGTTAGACGTCCACTTATAGCGTATTCTGGAGCGATATAACCTCTTATTTGATTCCAAAAGAAGAGAAAAATAAAAATAAAATTATTTAAACTTATATTAAATTCAATGTTCAAGAAGGTAATTTTGAGTAACTTACAAGGTTCCTGCAACTCGAGTACTGATATGAGTGGTGGTGTCTGAAAATAGCTTAGACAAACCAAAATCCGATAATTTTGGGGTTAAATTTTGATCCAAAAGTATATTGCTGGGCTTGATGTCTCTGTGTATTATATGTGGCTTCACCTCCTCATGAATATAGGCAAGTGCCTCGGCAACCCCCTCAGCTATTCGTGTCCTTAACTTCCAACTCAGTTTAGCTCTATTTTTCTCCCCACCTAACCTTGCATTAAAATGACACAAAAATATTTAAGGGCGGTTCACCTATTAACGTATAGATATAGCTAGCATAAGGAAATTAATTAAGATCAATCAAGTACTGATTTATTGGTTATAGACATTATTGAAGTTTGAGAGAGACTCGAAATTTGAGTTTCCTCCACCCACATATATCAAAAGAACAGATATTAACTAAGAGAAAAAGTAGAAGAGATGAAAGGTGTATATGTGTATACCATGTAAGACTTGGGCAAGGCTGTTATTTTGCATGAAGTCATAGACAAGGATTCTACAAGGTCCATAAATGCAGCAGCCATGGAGCTTAACAAGATTTGTATGTTTTAAGTTGGATATGGAGGCAATCTCGGCCATGAACTCTCTGTCTCCTTGGACCGATTCCGCAGACAGCACTTTCACAGCCACTTCTATTCCATCTTGAAGCTTTCCCTTTTAGATCCAAGCATGGAATAATTAAAACAACATTAAAATGAATTAATTAAACCTTAATTAACACTAATGACATGTTAATTTAAGTGGAAAGAGCTCATTCCTTTTAAACAAGATTTTGAATTTTATGCATAGAAAAATAAGTGTTTGAAGAGTTTTCTCATTTTAAATTCATTGGATACCAGATACGGAAAGATTGGTATATATATATATATATATATATAAAAACTTGGGCCGAACCGAAGCGAATGAATGAAAAGTGTGTGGACAGTGGGTCTGGGTCCTATGGACCAATAAGTTTGGATCCATCGACCCAGCAGAGTAAAATGGTAAAAAATTTCTAAAAGTAGGAAGTACCTTGTAAACAGAACCAAATCCACCTTCACCAGATTTGTTGGAGGGATGAAACCCGTCGGTGCCGACCCTCAGTTCATCATATGAGAAAACTCGGCAGTTTGGAAGAGTTTCAACGCCTACTTTAATTAATTAGTAGTTAG